CGCTCAACACGTTCACCACGCAGCACAGATGAGTGTTGAACCGCGGAAATTACGTGCGCACCCGGGAAAGGCATTCGAGTCAGGGATAGGTATCCAGGATATCCACTGTGGCGTCGGGAGCATAATGGTCTGCAGTCGGCAAAGCAGAGCCGGCCAGCGGGGTCGGAGCGCGAAATAAAAAATCCAAACATTAGTTGCGGCGATGAGCTCTTGTTCTCTGTTTCGGCGTTTAACGCCAATCTCCCGGAGGACATTTCCACGAGAGCCGCGGGCGGGCGGGTTGTCAGCGCGTTCACGGCTCTTGAGCGTTCTCGTCGAGTTCAAAAGCTCGCGCTCTGCCCGGCCTCAAAGGGGCGCCTCGCTCAAGTTTAATTTCATTCCCCGCGGTTTCCGGTGTTTGCTCCGCTGCTGTGCACGTCCTCTGCCGTTTCCGGCAAATTCCCATTTCCGTGTATCGATACACGACACCGACACGTTCTAATTGGTTCTTCAGGGCTCCAACGTCCGGGCTGCCATGTTGCGTCCATGTAGCCACCGAATCGCCAATGGGAGGGCTAAATGAACCAGTGGGTTGATTGTTGAAATTGGACGTATTTCTGTCAAACGGAACTAAGCGCCATGGAAAAGCATTGCGAGTATAGGAACGAATGAGCCCGACGCCCGGTTCCGCCGCCAATCCACGCCCCCCTCTGCCTTCCTACCCCGATGGTGCTTAGTTACGTTTGACAGAAATACGTCGAATTGATAGACAAAGCTATGGACAAAAAAGACATAGGAAGTGTGAAGCGATCCTGTATTCGCTCAAATGTGTGGTCCTTATAGACTATGGGGGTAAATGATGAACTAACTATAGGGACTCTCGTGGGTTGCCGTTAGTTAGAATATTACCCATACCTCCTTTGCCCATTGCAACCACCCGCTTCCACCAATATGATCCCTCCATATACCTTTTTGTCCTCTTTGTCTAGAGCTTTGTCTATCAATCTCAATAATCGGCCCGCAGGTTCGACTGGATGCAAAATAAGTGTGCCGGCCTTAGCCAAGGAACTTTCTATCAATTTCTACAATCAGCTTGGGGTAGATATCATACGAATTTAAACATTGTGATAAATGTTTCCAAACTAAATTTTCAAGACGCAAGACACTGGATTTTTGCAATGAATCAATTAATAGCATAAATCATGAAAAGTGCGATGGCAAGAAACTACAATCCCTTGAAATTCAGATTTTGCAAGCGCAAAATTTCTTCACAAGGATGCATTTTATTCTTCACTAACGGCACTTTTGACGAGTAAATCTCTTTCCTACTTCAAGATTCCTATCACCATAAATGCATGACAGCATGACATTTTGCGTGCACAGGCTTGAATTTGAAATCAACATTAACATTAACATCAAGGTAAACATTAATACCAATACGAATGTTGGAATGATCGGTTGTAGATTTGATCAAAACATTTAATACGTAAGGGCACTAATACTATCAGCAGCCCGACTGAAGACTTTGGCTGCTCCATTGAAGACGACAAAACAGGCCGAATCCATCAAGTGCTCTCCTATGGTACGGAGTTCCATTCTATCTACATCAATAGATGTGAAAGTCTGTAGTCGGGCGCAGTATGACTTGAACTCCAAGATGCTTACAAAACAAAATCAACATCAATATAAATAACGCAGCTACAACAACTAAAGGGGAGAATACGAGAAGCATCGCTAATTTCGCAACTTAGGGATCTAGAGATCTCTCATCTAGGGATTCAATTAAGTTGGGAGTAGTCAATCTAAAACACCTTTGATCTAAATGACGGTTGAGCCAATAATGGTGAAATTTTCACGGTAGTGAGTTTCGAATGCCGCTATTCGTTCTCTCTCCAAGCAACGATGGCGCTAAAAGAACTGCGTGCAAAGCTTTGATCGGATAAATTCAAAGCTAGATGAGATAGAAAAGACCCGCTATAAAAGTTTATCTCTTTTATAAATAAGTCAGAGCACCTCGTGTGCCGGAAATCAATACAAAATTTACTGGAAAGGTCAAGGGCGGGGAAATCAGAGGGGTTCGCGGTCTGCGGTTTGATCCACGAATCTACCTTTCTCAAAACCACCCCCACTCACTTTAGATAGGTAAAGAAGAGAAGCTCACGTGCCATCGTTTTGTTCCGACCCTTCCGAAAAAAAAGACATCCTATACATTGAAAAGCTGAGCAATTCGCCTTTGGATAAATTTAGAAGTACGGAATTACCTCGTAGGATGGAAAAAGTGATGCGTAACTTTATCATTATTAAGCTAAAGCTGGTTAAAGCTATGCATGTCGCAATATTTATAATGATTCTTTATACATTCGATGCCTAAGCTGTGTCAAATTGGCTCGCGTCCTGCTAAAAGCAAGTAGCCCACGGGTTGTATGAGGCGAGAGGCCAGTACATTCTAGTCGACAGGTATAGGTTTTCAAATACATCGTACAAAAGGATCACACAGAAAATTGAAAAAAAAAATCGAAGATTAACACAGCCGGAGATAGAAAAGACGTAATTCGGTCTCTTTTTTAAAGTTTTCTCCAGAATCAGGGCGACACCTCATTGACAGCATAGAGCGGAGCATTGCCAGTTCACGCCTAGCGCCTTCAATTTTGTAGACGCAACATGGACATCCATCAAGAACGAATAGTTGTATCTCTGCGCCGTCACTAGCGCGTGCCATTTCCTTTGCTCTGTTTCAATTTGCCTTATTTGTCGTGATAAGCTTCAAAAGCTAATTCTGGCACCATGTTTTAAACCAATCTTTTAAATAATTTTCAGCTTAATTTCAATGCTTCAAGTTATATGACACCACCGTTGTAGATTGGGCTCTTTCTTAATGGGCCAATAGTCAAGAGGCAAAAAGCATTCTGATGCATGTTTCAATCAAATTTTCATGTAGAACACTATTCGCGCAACCAAAATTACAAAAATTAACTTGAAACTACGATTTTTACCTTTTGTCGATACATAAAATCGAACCTCCCGCTCATGAAAGAATAAAAGTCTACGCCAGTCGAATTGTTGGGCGAATCGTGTTCTATGTGAAATTTTGAGGCGGAAAGATGTATCAAAATGCTTAAGGCCTAGATACACACGGCCATTAATCGCCGCGATTGAAAACGAAAGCCAATGAAGAGCCTGGATTTCGATATATCGACGTCAATGGATGGAAATCAAGGCTCTCCATTGGCCTCCGTCTTTCAATCGCAGCGATTAATCGCCGTGTGTACCTAGGCCTTTAAATCCGCATCTTGTCTGATGGTCCATTGTGGTCGATCAGAAACTTCAAACTAACTTTCAAACAACCGAAAATTACTTCCTATCTATCAATATCCGGATTCACTCGAGGAGAGAGAAGTTTAATCTGGTAGTTGAATATCTTGAACGAAAACGATCCATTGATATAATCTTCTGATCCTCTTGCTGGCTATTAGAAATACCACCTGAAGGGAAACTAATGACAATAGTTCTTCCGATAGTTTAAGCAAATATTCCGATAAATAGAAAGCATTTAATAGTGAAGAGCAAGCTGTATTTATAAAGTTAAGGAGCTAGTGATTTTTATTGAGCACAGCTTCTTTTACTAGAAAGCAGGATTAAAGAATCCTTGATTATCGAATTACAAAATGGAAAACTTTTGTGAACCTCCAGTAAAATTTAGTAGGTATTATAACTCCCGGAAATGGATCCATACAAGGGATTACAATGATTTACCACTGCAAAAATTGCATGATTTTGACCAACTTTCAAGGTAGATTCGCACCTACTTTGATTTACTGAACAGGAATATGTTTTCTTTTGTATTTTTTACTTCTTGTAGCGGTAAATTATTTCAATCCCTTCAAAGAATCCATTTCTAACACTTCTGAATTTTACTCAAGGTTTGCAAAAATTGTCCTTTTTATGCTGCTATTTTGAGGGCTTCCTCAAACCACCCTTAATCACAATATTAAAACCATATGGGGCCTCCTAAGTAAAAAAGCTGTGTGAAGAACCACTACGAATATGGCCCTACAGAGATTCAACGAATTAAGAGCAAAATTGAGCGACTTGGGAGAGAAAAAAATGGCAAAAATGTTCTGAAAACTTGTAAGAATACCCAGGGAAATCTGGCAAACATGAATGTGACGAAGGGGCAATAAAACGGGGGTTTACCCCCCGGTGGGAAAAGGGCGGACGCGGATCCGCTTGGCTGCCCCGTTATTTTTAATGCAAATTGGTTACAATAATAACCGGTCTAATCATCACCGCAACCTTCATTATAAGAAACACGCTCCGACCCCTAAAAGGTTATCCACTTTTCACGGTCCTGGCTACAGCTTTCCGTTCTCATCTCCGGACTCAGCTGAGCTTTAATAGTTTTGCAAAGTGGAAAAAAGTATGCCCCCTCCCCAACGGTTGCCAAATTGTATTATCGATTTAAAAAGGGTGTCATATTACGTTCCCTGATTCACATTTGGTAAAAAAATCAACATTTTGGAAAATTGAGAGTGTATGAAGTAGTCTGTTGATTTGGAGAGTTTGCCATTTCATGAAAGTAAATTTGAATACAGTTTGACGCAGTCCACTTCTCTGAAAGAGTTAGTTGCGTTAGTCATAGACTCGAAGTTTGATGGGCTAAGATCATAGATTACCAAAAACCAAGTGGATCTATTCAAAGGCCTAGTTTCTACATACAAATGATGTCGGTGGAATATTCGAGTAGTGTCAGTGGAATCTCTACTAATATACGAGTAAGTTGGCCAAAAATGAGTGGGTCCACTAGCCATTTTTAGCATGAATTCTTTTCTTATGGTTTGAAATTCTGTCAACAATTTTCAAAAAGCAGACCCTTTCTTTTCAAAAATATTTTCGCCATTTGTTGAAACACTTTAGTAGATTTATTTTTTCAATTACCTAAGTAAATGTAGCCATTGTGCAATAGTGCATTATTTCAAGAAAAATACCAGGAATAGGTGAGAGCATACTGCATGCCTCCTTACTTTTGAAACCTGAAACATAAAAAAAAATTGCATATTAATAAATCTCATTGAATATATGCATGTAATCTTAAATTTACATTCATCAGAAAAGTTTTCACGACAGGAAGCAAAGTTAAGCATGGTCTCTGAGTAAAAGGAGAGTGTCCAAAAATAATCGGTACTTTTTAGTGTATTTTCCGAAGAAAATACACTATTTTTTCAGTTATGTGTAACTTGTTTTGTTCCTTTATTTGTTCTTTTTTAATCTCATTTTGTGCTACCACTTTTCTACGAATAATCGAATCCAGCTGGAAAGTAATCATTGGAAATTAACATCGATGGCTCAAGTGCTAAATTATGTATCATCATTGCGATGTTTCAAAATTTCCGCTCTTATTTTATCTTTTTGAAGAGGATCAAGCCAACTTTATAACTTGAAATTCATACTGAAATATTTTCTGACAAGGAAGACAAATCATAGAAGCTCTCAAGAAATTACGTTGACTAGTTTTTCAAAAAGTGGCAACGTCACAAACGGATAGTTACGTGGTTTCGCAATATGGCCATACATCATGTATAATGTTACACGTACAATTCGAGCGGAAAAACGTTCAAAGAAATACACCATTTGGACGCATTTATGCTAAAAGGAACTATGTGCGTAGGATTCCCTTGGAACATAGTTCCTTTTAGCATACATACGTCAATTTAAAACCTCATGCATTCGCCAATCGTTCACCTCCGGCTAAATTTTCCAAAAAGCTGAATCACATTCACCTTTGGCATTGCCCTCCCCTCCTCTGACACCCCGAATCCCCTATTCCCACCCCATTCTCATCCCCATCCCATTTCCCCGTTATTCAAAGCAATAATATTTCATTTTACGCGTTACCCATTTACATTTGGAGCATTTCGCGCGGTTGGAAAGAGCAAACTATATTTCACGCATAATTGACGTTGCGCGGCCTTACCTTCCATTTGGAGGCAAATGAAATTTTGAGCTGCAGGGAGCGTGGTTCGGCGTGGTTCAGCGTGGCGCTGGTCTCGCGCGTGACAGGAGAGGAGCTCGTGCTTCCGCAGCCCGCAGCTTGCTCGACAATTGTTCGTAACCCGAGGAAAAAAACAAACGTGTCCTATTTATTTTTTCCCAGCCACGGTGAAAAATTGGACCCGTGCCGGGTTGTCAGACAGCGATATCTTCCTTATACGTTTTATAAACCTTAAACGGTTCAAAAGTGATTCAAAAGAATCGTCGTCGCCTGGACGAAAGAACGTAACTCTATTCTGCTGTCCAAAGTAAAAACCCGGTATAAGACATTTTTTCGATTTATTTCAGACAAAATACTAATTCACAAGAAAACCAACAAATGTTCTTTCTTCATTTTTCGAGTTCATTTTGGCATACCATCAGGCGAACTCAAAATTAAAAAAAATGAAGCCTTGCCACACTTGGATTTTCTTGTATTAGAACATTGCGCGTACAAGAAAAATACAACATTTGCAATGGAGTTACGGCGTTTTTGCCGTGGATGGAAATATTCCAAGGTTGTACAATTTACTCAAACGACTCGATTTTTACAAGAATGTATCTTCCGAAATTTAACTGATTTTTGCAGAAGAAAAATTTGAGCTTTTAGTTCTTCCCAAGATTCTCCGGGTAAAAAATGGAATTTGCGTGGTGAAATTTAGCAACATTGAACATTAGATACGACTTGTCGTTGGGGAAACGAGGGAATGTGAATATATGTATTTCTTAGGTGAATGTGCGAATCGAGAGAACACAATATTTATTACAAGATAAACGTGTACCGTTAATTAATGAGAAGACGCATAATTCTTTAATTTTGCATGAAAGGGTATGTCATTAGAGTGTTTAAATAGTCCATTACGGGCAGTTGGGTTTTTTATACTGAAAATATTGCTTTAATTTAAGTAGATATATTCTTGAAGTTGCCGTCAAGTGCGAAAATATTTCTTGAATGAAGCATGAAAGATGCTTATATGAAGAAAAACGTAGCGTATGTATTAAGTGGAAACTTCCTCGGTTCAAAAAATTTCATTTTTAATTCAAAGGTAATGTTTTGTGGGCAAATTCAAGTCATTTTTACTTCAGGGTACAGATGGTCAACCTGAAAAATCTCCTATCGGGAATATTTATGAATTTGCTCGACCGTAAAGAAGAAAGTACTTGGTTCTCCTGAAGTGTCCGAAAGAATGTCTCCTCATGTAAAAAAGACGTATCCCATTAATTTTCCCCACCCAGATGAAAAATTTGATCCAGGCTTTAAGAAAATCAAAATCAAAATGCTTTAAAAATCAAAAGATCTATAGATTGCTGCTACCTCCGAGTGTGTCAAGTCTGTCTTCCAAACGGAGAAGAGGAATAGGGAAATTTGAATATGATTTCACAACCTCGCTGCTGCAGCCCAGGATGAACGGATTCCCGCCCGAGGCGCAAATCAACGGCTTGAACTTATTCAATATGTTCACATAACTTTGAAAACTTTTTCAACTATTTCAAGAAGGTAAACTTCCAATACCTTTGCCGATTGATTTCTGTCTTTTGTATTGCTGAGAGAATCGGGCCGGGACTTCCGCCCCCCTCCCGATTCCAGAAGCGAAGGCATGCACGTGACAGGTATAACCAGCTTCTGCCTCCAACTTACGTTTCTTCAACAACAAAGTCATGGTGAAATTAGAGGCGAACACCCGTATCTCCTTTCCTGTGTTTAAAAATTTCTCCGCGGCGATGATCAAAATTATTTCAAAATTAAAATAGGCGAAATTAAAGGACTTTTGAACGTATTTATGCCAAAAGGAATTCGAGAGAAAGATGTGGAAATATGGATGTGCTTGTCTGAGCTTCATAAGAAAAATGTTAATTTGGGCGTGATTCCTTTTCGAAAAATGGAAGAGTAGGAATTTACATTAAATCGAAAGGACTTAAGCGCCAAAATATGCTGATTCGTTTTGATACAACTATCACTGATCCAAGGATGCTCGTGTTGCATACCCAAAGGAATGCGGGCGCATCGGCTTAGCGACACGTGCTTGCTGAAAATACCTTGAGGGACGCGGGTCTTAAAGTATCAGTTATGATTTCCTCCTTCAATCTCCTCAATGCTGAGCCCATAGGATCTCTTTCTGTCCCTTCCTTTTTCATCCGAATCATGGGATAAACATTAATCCGAGAGGATCCGCCCATTCTGTATAATACTCCGCGGGGTCAGGCAAAAAACGGCAAGCTGGTTCCACGTTTGAATGGCAGGTCAACTCAGCGAGCATCCATTTCACATTTGAAGACTCGTTTTTAAAACTTCCGCCCTGTCAACGTCATTCGTCCATCCCGCTCGGCAAAGTTGCCAGATTTCGCTGAAAATTATCAAAGTCCCCTAAGAATCAAATAACAATACTGCTTTTTCAGTGCAATGTGGTCACCGCCTTGCTCGGAATTGAACGCCTCAAACTTCCCCTCTTCCCGTCACTAAAAAAAGGTAACAAAATATAAAACAAATTGATGATGCTATATACGCTCTGTACACACGTGCGTGTGCAGGTGAGCATTTGTGTGTTGGAAAAACACCCCCTTGGCGAATGAAAGTACCGACGAGCTAGATAATCGGATGATTAATTATTACGATCCGTAAATGAGTTTAGTCAATTGTTCAAAGAATAGAGAAATAAAGCAGGGTTAGAGCTCACAGAGGTGATTTTTACATAACACCATCGGTTATGTCATACGTTATTTGCGCAATTGATAGATCTGCAGAGAGGAATGTTAAATCATTTTGATGAGTTTTAATTATATCCTCCGGATTATTGAATGTATTCCCTTAATACTATACAATGATCATACCTGACCTCGTTTGCCCCTCGTTAAAGAAGAAGGAGAAGAAAAAAAATTGCTCTCGCAATGTTCATAGTAAATCTCAGGATCTACCTTCTTCTCTGGTTATAATTACCATCTTACGTTTCGACGGCGTGAGTCCACAATCACGTATCTCGTTTGCGGTGTCTGAAAATCTCCGCATCTATGTTATTTTTTTTAAGGAGAAAAATCGGCATCATTCCTTGAAGTTTTTGCAGAATTTTCTTCGCGCAGAGAAGAAAAATTACGGCAGTTTTAAAGAAATGCCGTTGAGTAATTTTTCGTTTAAAAAATAAAGTATGACCGGAAGTCTGCGACGTCGCAAACCGAATTATGTGATTACCGACTTACACCGTCGGTTTGTGGTACCAAATATTCGGCCCCGGCAACAAATATTTTGTACCCGGTTGCATTGTTCCAGAGACCGAAGTAATCGTAACCACAACTAGAAAAGGAGGTAGGGCGTAAAATCCACTAAGAGCATGTCAGAGTGAAGAAACTCTGTTTTCCGCAACCCATTTTTTGGCTGTTATAGAAGTTGTAGTTGTAATCTTGGTGCGTCCTTTCATCCTGCAATTCCACTTTTTGAATTGCATGTCGTCTCTTTTCATAAACTTGAAGAATAATTCAAAAAAATTCATCGAGACAGAGGTCTTGATTCGCGAAAATACGAATTCGACGTAAACACTGGAAACACGGTCAAAACTATAAAACTAAAAACAGACGAAAGTCTAAAAAGAATCAAATCAAGAGAAGTAACTTTAGATATTCCGACGAGGAGTGCATTGACCGGAAGTCGAGTCGTTACAGCTTGGGTTCGGATCATTTTCGGTTATTTTAAGCCATGTCACCACTCCTTTAAGAGCGTATCTCTATTTCCACATGAGCTCCGGATAGCATACTGTTGTATCGAGAACAAGGCTCACGTGAAAACTGAAACGGGGCGACGATGTTTCCTCCAAATCGGCTGGTTGCGCTGCTTCACGGTATGCCTCACCGACTCCCATTTCTGCCATGCTATAAGATGAGCACACCGTATGTACATTGAGAGGTGCCAACTTTCCTACAACGATTTCCAAGTTGATTTTCAATCATCCAACGATTTTTAAGAGTCTTTCGGGTGATTAGTGGCAATTTGACAAAGAATGGAGCCTTCTTTCAA